ACTTTGTTATACGCAATTTTGCTGATGTCCCTTTATAATCTCCTTCACACGCGCGCATATTTAGTATTGTTTCGCACCATCGACCTCAGAGGCCAAAAAGGCTTGAAGCAAACCTTGCAAGCCAGATAGTTTTTTAAAAACCTTGCTCGCCGCACTAATTTATTCGCAAACTTAATTTTATTTTAGTTTTTCAATGTTACGTATAGCGTCCACGGCACCTCCTTCGAATTACGTTGGCATATCTAGAAAACAGGAACTGACGTATTGTTTAAAATAGTAAGAGTGTTCTTAAATGATCATATTACTCGTTATTGGCCGGCATTCTAATAGCGAAACCATAGGTTTATGCACCTGGGACGGAAAAACAACAATACTAGGCGCAGCTTGCATGAAACTGTAGGTCAAATGACGGGGTAGTTTTATTTCAGATCCAGAAATGGTTGTGCAGTTCACTACACAGGCGCGTGGTTGACATGCTTATCGACCGAGACGTTACCTTTGATTGCGGGCTTCGATCTTCTCTTAGTACAGAAAATTACCTTTATGATTGAAAAATCGGAGAGGTGCTGTGTCGAAAGTGTCGGTGAAGATTTGTGCCCGTACCGAATTGCACAGCCGCTTTGTGTTTACATATGTGCAGTCCCAGCTGTCGTCCGCTTTGACCTACATAACTACGACAATAATGACCACCAGATTTCTTGATGAAATTTAGTTGATTTTTATGATTATTCAGGAAGCTATTATAAATGGTGTCTGTAGAATGCTATGTAATTCCGAACTCAGATTGAACATCAGTGAGTTTTCACATTCCTTTGGTATTGGACTATCTTTTGGCTAGATTCTCTATGAGCGGAAACGAATTCACCAATTTAAGAGCACTTTTTAATATTCGCTCAACATAAATTAGTTGCAAAAATTATGGGCCTGTCTTACTTTATCCCATAGGATGCAACACTGTTTCTGAGTCCGTGTAAAGAGCGTCTTCACGCAGCTTAACGCTGGAGCTCTAGAATAACTGCGGTTAAAGTTAAGGATTTTGAAGGTGTTGGTTGCTTTCGTATTCAAATTTTTAATGGGCTTGCTTTTGAGATGTTCTCATTCACGAGCGTCCAGAAATGGCAGCCGGGAGATTGTATTAAGCAGATTTTGGGAATTCTGAATTATGCTTTATCGGACAGTAATGCAGCGGCGTGGGAAAACCAATTCGTGTTGATTGAAGGCAGTCACAATAAGCTCTAGCAGCATTAGTTCTATTCCCAATTCAAAGGTTGAAGGAGCCAGAACTACCATCCCAGTCTAACCCCTGTCTCCGCGGGCAATAATTCTCGATCTCTACGGCTTTTTTGTGCAGTTGCTGGGGCGGACCTTCAGGCGCACTCATTCCATTGTTTGATTTTGATAATGTTTTACTGTTGACTTGCCAATATTTGGCATGAAGCCCAGCTAAAAGTGTCCCATAAACTCTTGATCAAACATAATTTGTAGGAATAAAGTGCCATACCACCAATCCGTGGTATATACCAGACATTGCCCTCTATTCGATGCTAGACATTTCGGATAAATCGTGGCTACCGCCACGGTAGTGCACTGTTTCTGCGTGCAAGGCAGAATTTGAATTATACGCCATTTTTTGTCTTATTTGCCAGCCATGCGCCGTCCTGATGCCGCACCACAAGGGTCGAAAACGTCTCCACCTGGAGCTGAAGGACAACTTGGCGCGTGTTGGCGCTGACATCAAGTCGCGTGTCTATGAGTCCTTGCGGTCTACGTGGCGCACCCTGCAGGAGTTCGCCTCTGCACACGTGGTGTAAGTACATGCAGTCGCCTTTTGGCACTGAACTGTCTGCAATTTTGCCTGCAACTGTAAACGTGCCTTTTCTTTATGCTGCTGCTGACGGTCGACAATGCTGGAGGAGGGGGAGTGTCAACATACTCCTTGAGGAGCATAAGGAGAGCGCGAGTAAGAACTGCTGTTGTTCGACGACCCTAAGCTATGA